CAGCAGCAATGCCTGCTGACGCTGCGTCGACGGGGATCAAGAGAGGGCGTGGGAGGCCAAGAAAGGACAATACAGCAGCAGCAGCAATGCCTGCTGACGCTGCGTCGACGGGGATCAAGAGAGGGCGTGGGAGGCCAAGAAAGGACAAGACAGCAGCAGCAGCAATGCCTGCTGACGCTGGGTCTGCGGGGATCAAGAGAGGGCGTGGGAGGCCAAGAAAAGAGAAGAAGCCAGCAGCAGCAATGTTGGCTGAAACTGAAGCTGGAGATACTGTGTCAACTGGGATGAAGGGGGCGCTTGAGAATCCAATATCAGGTAATGTCGTGTCAACTGGAACCAATGGAGCACTTCTTAGAACGGAGAATCCAGCGGCAGGTGATTTTGTGTCCATGGTAATGAAGAGAGGGCCTTGCTTTGATTGAAACCTGGTTTGGAGACATGTCTGAAGAAGCTAGTCCATGTGTAGGAAAGGAAACCAGGCCTGGCCTGAAGATGCATGCTGGATGTGTGATTTGAGTCTAGTCTCTCTGGGCTGGGGCTCCCCAGCGAGTGCTCGATTGGTTGATGCATGTAAGCAAGCCGTTAGTAACATTCTCTTTTGCTAAATCTTTCTATATTTTGTGTCAGATCACATATAATATAGTAAGTATTAACGATGTTGCTATTTTCTAGTAATTCTTAGTCGCATTAATTATTATTTTTCTTTGTGTCAAACAGAGCTAGACTTGAAATTTTGAAGTGGAGCATAGTAGAATGGGCAAAATAATAATAAAAAAGATGCTTCAATGGTGAAACATTTGCACATTAGCTTGTAATACTGCAATGCAACACATTATTATTATATTAACTGAATGCGAGAAGCTTCCAGATTGGAGATCCTTGTACTTGTAATGGCTGTACGGTGGCTGGCACATTTGGAAGGATTTTGTTTGTAGTTTGTGATGTAGGGCTGGCTGCTGGGTTAAAGGAAAGGTGTTAAGTGGACTAGTGAGATGTAGCCTTGCTTCCCCTCTTTTGCTTTCTCTAGAGTTTAGATCATACTTACTAGCCTGGTTCGCGGTACGATGGAAAGATCAGGGGGTGAATGTATGGACCGCGAACCAGATCCATCTTGTGCACTAGACTAGATGCAAGATTGCAAGAAGAAGATTACAACAACACCTATAGTCAGTCAGTCAGTCAGTCCATTAGGATGTACAGCCGGAGTCCTAGTGTCAGGACCCATCAATCTGAAGCTCTATCTCATCAAGATTACTCAAGAAATTCAACACTTTGACTCTTCACCCGCAGCTCATCTTGGCTGCGGCTGGTGACTGATCTCCGATGCGAGGGTCTAGAATCTTCTACTGTTTGTCTCTCATCTTGGCTGCGGCTGATGACTGAGCACCGTCCGTCCATCTCGGATCCGAGGCTCTAGAATCTTCTACTGTTTACCTGTTTTCTTGGATGCTGGCTGTCCGTGTAAGCCTAGAGGCAGGGTATCTTCTTATCTCTTGTAAGTATTTGGGTTGAACCCTAGCCGCTGCCATGTTCATCTCCTAAGTTGTAGCAAACATTTCGTCTCTGAATCCCACTGAATTCCCTCTTTGCCAGGGCCTGTCTACGTGGTTGCTTTTTGCGTTTCTCGTAACGTCTATAACTAATTTTGTTATACAAATATGCTTTCCTAGCATGAAGAGATAAGTGGGCAATTGTTCGAGTAAAAGTAAGTATATAGTTGATCTTTATAGTGCATCATAAAAATGGCAATTAACAGCGGTGTGCCACGGAAAGGAAGCTTGTACTACAACTACAAGAAAGCTGTATCCCTTCATGAATATTCTTGGAGAGAAAAAAAAAATCCAAGTTTCTATTATAAGGTTGTTTGAATATAATTAAATTCCATGTATGCAACTTTTTAGGTTAATTACAAACTTGCTTTCCCATGACACCAATTTGTGTTTTAAGAATACCAGTACAAAATATAAGATTATGTACAAGTATTTTTAGACGATGTGCACCAAATTATTTACTTGAAAATTTATTTTCCGTTTGTTTTTGCATATACATGTCTTAGCAAATGGTCGCCAATCGGCTGGTGAGAGAAAAGCAAGTTCATGCTACAAAATTGTTTCTTGTGATATGCAACTGCTTTTTGGAAATTGCTTTTTGGTTGTGCAAGTAAAGCAAGTTGATATTCCAAGAAACACTTTTCAACAAGCCATGTTGTTTTTCAGTAATACTTTGTCATGCCTAAAACATTCCAGAAAGTTAAGCAAGTTTGATGATATTCAATCATTTATAGACCACAAACTTGATTTTCACCCTTGTAATTTTGTGAGAAAAGTTGCTTTCGGTCAAACTAGGCTGTCTTTCCAAATAGTGCATGCCCAATCTATGGTTGAATTTGAAAACCCATTTTAATGAGATCCAAGCAACCTTTTTTGCTTAGACCGTCACCAAAGGACAGGCACACCTAAGCAGCAACCGTCACCGAAGATGAGAAAGATACCGTAAGGGCCGTAAGGGCCATACCTGCAACCACACCAACGGACACAAACACCGACCAGATCATAGGAGATCCATTGGGAAGACAGCTCCACGTGACCTACATCAGCGCTAGGCGCACCACCGGAACGGGGATAGTAGGACGTGGAGGACCTTATTCTGTATTTAGGATGTCGCCACCGCCTCGCCGTCCCTAAGAAGACATTAAAACTACAAAAAAAAAATTGGAATCCTCCCGCCGGCAAGGGCTCATGGTCCACCAGTCCTCCAAGATACCAAGGGCAACCATAGGTGGGACAGGCCTGTGGCCGTGCCGACGAGGGGATCATAAACCCTAATCGCTTCAAGATCTCTGTTCTCACTCCCTTACAGACCGAACGCTGGATAGTAGGGTTTTTTTACCAGGATATACAAGCAACTATATACTCGAAACTTGGTTTCAACCAAAAAAATCATAATGGGTGGTAAAGTGTGGTTGTCATATGATAACACGTTTGCACTGAAAGCTTGTTTCTTCATGACATGACTGCTTGGAAAAATTGTTGTCAGAATATGCCCAATGTAGAATATATTGTTTGATCTATTTTGTAGGATGTTTTTAGGAGATGTGACAATGTAAACATAGTCTAGGGTGGTCACTTGGTGTCGGAGATTATTCCGGCAGATCTCTCCATAGGGTATCCCGGGCAGGCAAGTAGATCGGATGATCTCTCCATAGGGTATCCCGGGCACGCATAGAGGATCATATTGTGTGCACACGAGACGAACAGTTTTACCCAGGTTCACCCAATATGCCTACATCCTACATGTTTGATCTTTACTGATATTGGAGTTGTCTCGTAGGTCAGATCGGATATTTAGGATCCTGAGGTTGTTAGGTGTCAGACTTGGGAGGCTCCTACCCCTCCTTATATATGTGGACACAAGGGGTAGGATTACAAGAGTCCAAATCGGATTACAAGCTTGAAGTCCAAGTAAGGTATACATATTGTATTACAAGTAAGGAGACATCTTTATGCAAGAGGTCGGGGAGCGACATGGCATGGACGACCTGATCATTTTTGTGTTTTCTTATCGCCTGTGTATAGCTTTGGTCTTATTTGACTTTGCTATTTATCAGCGTGTTTTTGTGTGTGTGCGCGTTGATGTTGGCTGTGTGCATCTTAGTTATGCAGAGGCCGGGTGTGTGCTCATTATGTTTGTATTCTCTTGATGCTCCATTCTGAGCCAATAAAATTCACCCTTTATCAAAAAAAAATGGCATGGACGACCTGCTCAGGCCGGCTTCCAGTCGCTCACGGTATCCCGTAGTACAGGTTTCCGAACTGAGGGAGTAGTGTATTGTTAGGAGAAAGCATGCATGTTGCCATGTTGGTATTACAGTCTAAAATTGCTTCAATTGTTTTACTTTTTGTTTGGTTGGTGTACTGCCTCTCGCGCTGGCGTGATTTGCTTCTACTGCATGCAGTCGCGCTAATCCTACACTTATTAATGACAAAAAAAAGGAAATGCTACTAAGGAGTAGTAAAAACGAGACGATCCAGGACTAGCCCTTCGAGGTATATTTTTTATAGAAGAAAATCAAGCACCACGCGCCACTTCAAACTCGAACGCAGGGCGAGAGCTTGCTCCTTGCGTGCCTAGCCAACATGATGACACCATGTCCTCACTAGGGAGTAGCAATAGCTAAGTTTTAGATCTCAGGGCCCATGTTGGTTGGTTTTCTTCGAGACCCATGTTGTAAAAATCTAAATTAGCCCTCAGGGCACTGACAGTTTTAGATCTCCTCTCAAATACCTCATAAATAAATAGCTTCCTTTTCTATCTCCCTGTTGATGCTGATACAATTCACGGACAAAGACTTGTTGAATGGCCCACTGATGAAAAGCGATGTCGGGGAATGAACCCCGGGCAGGCAACGGAACCCGGATCCTTTTCAAAAACAACGGGGCCAGTATCGCCCCTCAAGCCGGCCCGCGCTTGGCCGGGTCGCTCAACCCGGCCAAGCCCCTCGACCCGGCCGAACTCTTCAACCCGGTCAGACTCCTCGACTCGGCTCCAACCACCAGCTCAAGGCAGCCGAACCCGGCGCACCAAGACTTCTCCAATAAGACAGCTCCACCCTTGGCGTGTTCCCCAACTCAGCCACGGGTCAGCTCCCATCCCATCCAGGCTGTACGATAGGACGAGTTTTCATCCACCGATTACCGAGGCAACGGTGCCCTGCCCATGCCTCTGCAGCTGGAGCGTGGCAACAGTGCCCTCACCTACTCGCTGACCAGGGCCGGCGTGGCAACAGTGCCCCCATCATCACCGCTGATGCCAGCAAGCGGCGACTTGACGGAGCGCCACTGTACCCGACTCGACTCGGCCACTCCCTAACGATCGACAAGACGACGAACTGTCCCCCTAGGCGAGCGGGGCCCGCACCTAGGGGAACCCGGCGAACCACAGGCACCCGGCGGGACCCAGCTCCGGGTCCCCAGACGCTGACGACCTGGCCCCATGGCCTTGTAACATTACCCTTGTACCCCTTGGGGGTTGGCCTATAAAACCCCCCAGGAACCCTCATGCGTAGGAGAGGGAGAAAGCACACAGTAATCTAGCCAACCGATCGATAGAGCACACATGGAGAAGTAGCAGCCTAAGCCTTGGCCATCCTTCCTTCTTCCTCCATACAGCTCTAGGAGCAACTATGTACCATTACACATCAACCACACTCGGCAACACCAGGGGTATTATTTCTCCGGAGAGCCCCGAACCTGGGTATGTCTTGCGTCCCGCGCTCGCTCATGCCAACCTCGACTCTGGAGCCCACCAGTGCCCTCGAGCCTCCTCCTCTCTTTAGCCATCCCATGGCATCTGCCGTGCGCCCACCGTGGGGCAGCTCGAGGTCCTGGCTGGAAGCATGCTTCAGACAGGGCTCCTCTACGAC